CTTTCCTTCCTTCTTCCTCCCTCCCAAGTCTGTTATGGGCTCCTACTTTTGCTTCTGTCTGCCCAGATGTGAATTTCTTCTTCTCTCTTCTTATTTTCCCATAGTCAGAATCCTCTTTAGCTCTGCTCTAACTTGGTTTGTCCTGACACTGACTCCTGCCCCCTAATCAACAGCTTCTTACCACTGCTGTAGGCTAGATGGCAGTCATGAAATAGTTGCTGTTGCCCTTGTATATGCAAAGTTGGTCATAGCTATTCCCGTTGTCATCACTTCAATTGAGATCTGTGCATTGCTGGCGCCACACATGCTAAATTGAATTGTTGTTTAAAATGTCTTCAGAAAGATTATACTATGATTTAGCATTGAAATGAAAAGGTATCATGTACACAGAAAGGCATGTAAACAGAGCAATGGGGCATAAATTTGATATTAGCAAAGCAAATATTCATCATTGGAGGAATGGCAGCAATTTCATATTTTCTTCCAAAGCAACAACAAAGCACTTTATAAGAACTAAGAAAGGAAGACATCTACAAGCAGATGAAGTTATGTTATATTTTGCTTCTGACATACGAGCAAAAGGATTGCCTTATCTTATGTCGAACAATGCAATTGAAAGCAGAGAAATTGCCAAATCCCTCAGAACAAAGAAAATTTCGAAGCCACAGAAGCTGATGTGACCAATTTCTGTATCAAGCAGGATCGTTGTTAATACAGTGAACATCTGTTTATCATAGACTACTCAACTTCTAGCAACATTTGCTTAAATGGAGGAGGAAATAATACAATTAATTTGGTGAAATGGCACAGAATAAGAATCTAAACTTAGCAAAGGAGTGTGAGCACCTTGGAAGAACCTGAAAATATTTGTAGAGCACTTTCAAGAAACTCCACATCACTTATAGGCACATCAATGTTTATAGCAGCACAATTCACAATAGGCAAGTTACAGAACAAGCCCAGGTGCCCATCAACAGATGAATGGATCAAGAAGATGTGGTATATATACACACCGGAGTTTTACTCAGCCATAAAGAAAAATGAAATTATGGCATTTGCTGGTAAATGCATGAAAATGGAGAACATCATGCTGAGTGAAATAAGTCACTCAGAAAGTCAAGGGTCTAATGTTTTCTCTCCTATGTATAAACTAAAGTTATTTAAGGGGAAAAAGGGGCATGAAAATAGAAGAGAAGGGAAAGGGATTGAGGGGGAAGGAAGGGGGATAGGAAAGGGGAAGAACTGCAGAATGAAATTGACCAAATTATGCTATGCATGTATATATATATATATATATATATATATATATATGAATATTCCACAGTCAATTTTATTTTTATACCTATGAAGCACAAATTTTTAAAAAGAAAAGTAAATACAAGGAAGATCAATAGAATAGAGGAAGAGGAACATGGGGGGGAGGAATAAAGGGAAAGAAGAAGCACTGGGGACTAAAATGGAACAAATTATATTGCATGCGTGTATGGTCATGTCAAAATGAACCCCACTATTACATATAACTATAATACTCAAATAAAAACATGAAACAAGAGATGTGGGGGAAAAGGTACACTCATATACTGCTGGTGGGACGGAAAATTAGTGCAGCCAATAGGGAAAGCAGTGTGCATATTCCTTGGAAAATTGGGAACAGAACCACCATTTGACCCAGCTATCCCTCTCCTTGGTCTATACCCAAAGGACTTAAAAACAGCATACTACAGGGACACAGCCACATCAGCGTTTATAGCAGCACAATTCACAATAGCTAAACTGTGGAACCAACCTAGATGCCCTTCAGTAGACGAATGGATAAAAAAAATGTGGCATATATACACAATGGAATATTACTCAGCATTAAAAGAGAATAAAATCATGGCATTCACAGGTAAATGGATAGAGTTGGAGAAAATAATGCTAAGTGAAGAAAGCTAATCCTAAAAAAACAAATACCAAATGTCTTCTTTGATATAAGGAGGCTGATTCATAGTGGGATAGGGAGTGGGAACATGGGCGGAATAGGTGAACTCTAGATAGGGCAGAGGGGTTGGAGGGGAAGGGAGGGGGCATGGGTTTCTTACTGATGGTGGAATGTGATGGACATCATTATCCAAAGTACATGTATGAAGACACAAATTGGTGTGAATATGCTATGTATACAACCAGGGATATGAAAACTTGTGCTCTATATGTGTAATAAGAATTGTAATGCATTCTGCTGTCATATATAAATAAAAATTTTAAAAATAAAAACATGAAACAAGAAATTCCCCATTACTGATACACTTGGGAGCATAGAAAAAGATCTTCTATGGAAAACTACAGACACTGACAATTCTAAATTGAAAAAAAAAATATTTTAGAAGAGTTAAACTTCACACAAAGTTTTGGGAATTTATCTTACTTATAGTTTCCTTTTCATGTATATGTAGTTAAGATAACAAAAAAGCTTTTTCAATATGCATAAAATTAAAAGGTTACATGATTTTTCTAAATAATTACAGTAGTTAAGTCTGTATCATTTCCGTCTTTTTTGTGACATATAAAGTCATAGTCCACCTTACAATTGATGTCAAATTATATGCAATGAAGCATGGTAGGTCTAATAAAATGTCGTCGGCAGAAGCCATGGTAGCAATGCTGGTTTCATTCACTTGAGAGGAGATCCCAGACCTCAGAATTCTTTTTTCTTCCAATACACTAACTGGCATGGCAGCAAAGCTACACTATCCAATATTATGGCCACTCACTAGCCACACACAATTATTTAACTTTAAATTTCTGTTAATTAAAATGTAAAATTCAGGTTCTTTAGTTGTACTAGTCACAATTCAGTTGTTCAAGAGCCAAATGTGTCTTGTGGTTATTATGTTGGAAAATAAAGACATAGATAGACCATTTCCATCATCATAGAATGTTCTACTGGATGGTATTGAACTAGAGTGACCTCAGAGGCCATGTTTTTCAAGATGGCAGAGTCACTGTTGGCCTGGTCTCGTGCATAGCTGCATCAAGTCTAGATACCTCCTGACTGGAACACTTACCTCCATTTTCATGAAATAGAAATAAACTGCTTATTTCTTTATGCTTCTTTATTGATGTATATTTTAATATAACAGTTCACTTTCTGCTAATTAATACCCTTGGTTGACTGTCTCTTTTACCCAATAGATTCTATTGGAATATATGTATTTTGTCAAAATTTAACATGATTCCTGACACATAGTAGGCCCTTGAAATGTTTCTTAAATAATTTAATATGTGCACCTAGGAGAAAGAACTCTGATTTAGAAGATTAAGAGAAAATTCTTAAAAGTAGCATCTAAAGTGACACTTGAAGGATGTATCAGAGGTGACAGAGATATATAATGCAGGAGGGAGAGGCTTCCAGATAGAGAAAAGACTCAGGGAAGAGAGCATGGATCTTCATAGGGAATGAAAATTCAATGGATTTGGAGAAAGAAGGAAGTAGAAGGTGAGAGGGCAACAACGAAGCAATCGTGATGGGCTGTATTGACTATTTAAGACACAAGATCTATAAATTATGTGGTTAAAAAGGCAAAATTAAAATTTTAGACAAAATAATAAGTAAAAGAAGTTTATAAAAGTGTAGCTAAACATTGGGAGGATGATAGGTATATCAAATAGCTTTAGACAGTAGAAATCATTTATAATTAAATATACATATTGAAAATAAAGAGATGACTAGTAAAACAATGTAGAAATATTATATATAGCTTTACACTAGCAGTAGAGGAAAGGAAATGTTTTTAATCCATCAGAAGCCTGGAAAGAACAAAAGCACAGGAAGCAGAAAACACATATCAGTAATGCAGAATGATGTATGCAGGATATTAAAATTTACATAATATTTTGAAACTCAAAAAAGTCCCATGTTTTCTTTTCAGATATATAACTATGTGGTGATCTCATTAGACATACATGGAAATGGTGAATATCCAGGGGAAGGAAGGATAGAAAAGCATGAAAGCTGTGTACAAAGAAGTCTTTGCATTCTTTATTTCTTTCAAAAATTATGCGGTAAATGTAACAAGAAGTTAATATTTCATAAATCTGAGTAGTGTTAGTCAAGTTTCCACCTCTGACAAAATACCTGAGAAAATCAAATTAGAGGAAGAAAGGTTTACTTTGGCTCAAGGTTTCAAATTTTCAGTCCAAGGTTGGCAGACTGCATTGCTCTGGGCCTGAGACAAGGTAGTATATTATGGAGGTGGGAGCATGTGACAGAGGTTGTTTATCTCATGGCAACAAGGAATGAGAGAGAGGAGGAGGAAAAGGAGGAGTGATGGGAGGAGGAAGAAGAATAATGATGATGAGGAGGAAGCAGGGAAGTGAAGTAAGAGGAGAGAAGAGGAAGGATAAGGAAAAGAAGAAAAATTGATGACAGCAATAGGCATCTGTGGTCAAGATATACCATTTCAGGACATTCTCTTAGAGACCTCTTCCTCCATCTAGACTGCACCTCCTACAGTTTCTATCTTCTCCCAGTAGTCCATTCAATTATGAACTCATTAGTGAATTGACCCATTGATGACATCAGAACTGTCATGATCCAACTTTTTTTTCCCCAAGAGTCCCACTTTTGAATATTGCTGTATTGGGATCCAGGCCTTCAACACATGAGCCTTTGGGGTACATTTTAGATTCAAACTATAACACAAGTAATAGATTCACAGCTGTAATTTTTTGGTATTTGAAATATCAAAATAATTACATATAAATATATAGCAAATATAACCTCCAAATTTCTAGATTAGAAGATCTTTTAAAAAGATTTTTTGGTCACCTCAAATATATAAGCTTTCAAAGACATGGAATACTAAAAGGTGTATATAATATTTAAATTTCTAATAAAGTTACATATATATACTTAAAACCATGTTTTACATAAATCAAATTATTGATTTGGAAATATTATTATTTTTCTTATGAGACAATTGTCCTTAAACTAATCATTAATGTTTGACATCAGTGACCTTCTTAGGGACATGTTTCATAGATACATGCTTGAGTTATCTATTGCAGTTCTCCAAGTCATATCATTTTCATTTCCCTCAAAGTTGAGATATAGAATACCTTAATCTATGTAGGATAATGTCAGTAGAAATATCTGAAGTTTCAAGTTTCCATTCTCATATTAAAAAAAATTTTAAATATCATAAGCATCATTTATTGCATTGCTTTTTAAAGTGTCCTTTAAAAGACAAGCTTATATGGACATCTAACTCTTGCAACTGTGAGGCCACGTCCCCAGGCATAATGACTAAATTTGCATTAGATTTCTTTGCCTTGTTTTTAATTCATTCTCTCAGATGATCATCCCAAACTATCATTGATTGAAATTGTTTCTGGCTAATGAGTCTTGACCGTGCACATATTTTGTTGACCAAAATATAATAGAATAGATATAAAATAGAATAAACCAAAGTAGGAAAGACTGCACTTGTAATGGGAGAGTATCTTATATGTGGCATAACCTTACATTAGACATTTTTGGTGTATCGAACCTATAGGACTGTAGAGAATAATATAAAATGAATACTCATATATCTATCACCCAGAAAATACTCCTATTCTGAGCAATAATTTTAATTTAAAATAATGGCTTCCAATTCAGAGACAAAATAGAATAGAATCAATTTTCCCTGTTCTTTCACTTTAAATATAATGAAATACCTTGGAAATAATTCAACAGAAAATGGTAAAAAGTCTGAATGTTGGATAGAAGAAAACTCACTACAGATCTCAAGACTTTAAGAGCAACACCATGATGAACAGTGACTTCCATAGGATTTCTTTCTTATCTTTCATTATTTACCAGGAACAAGGAAAGCCAGCAGGGACTTAGCAGGGACACCAACACCCAGTGGCAGTAGTAGGCCAATCTACCAATCTTGGTATCAGAAGAACTCAGGAAGGAAATCCATCCCTTGACCCACAATCAAAAACAGCAGTGGGTAAGAGTAGGTAGGTCCTGAGTTAAATAGTCCACCCACACCCCAGATCAGCCAGTAATAGGTGGGTCTTTATGCAAGTGTCAGTAGAAATAGCAAGTTCCATATTTGTTATCCATTGACCCGGATGTAGAAGTTGACACAGGGCTTGAGTTTTCAGAATCTAGATCTAAAGCCAGTCACCCATTCCTTATGGCTCCTGGTTCTCCACTCTGTGGCATAAGGCACTCAGGTAGGCTCTTTACTTTCCAGAGGCATCTGTGGAAATAGAGTGGAAAGCCAAACATCAACAGGTGAGAATGAACATGAAATTCTCTACTTCTTGTATATCTGGTACCCCTCACTCCTCATCTAACAACATTGAGAGATCCATGGAAGTATCTGCAAGTGGCACTAGCTAGAATCTCACAAAAGCTCAAACATAACCAGATGAATAAAGCAGACCAGATTATTATCACATAGTTTCAGAAAACTAAAACGTTACTGGAACTATAACCCCCAAATGTAGTATAAAACCTACAAACTAAATGTAAACAGGGAAGAGCCTCCTAAGATAAAAGATTTAAATAATGAGTCACCTAAATAATATAAAAAAGTTCAAGATAGAATTAAAAATACTCATTACATAAAAACAAAAAAATCATAGTATGAACCAGAAAGGTAGTCAACTGATGTCAATAACCAGATGAATCAGATTTTAAAACATCTGGCATAGATTTCAAAGCAGCCACCATAAACTTGCTTCAATGAAGAATCATGAATTTCTTTGAAATAAAAAGAACACAGCAAAGAAAACAAAGTTATACCAAAAAAAGGACCAAATGAAAATTATAGACTTGAAAAATATAAGAACTGAATTTTAAAAAAATGTTATTGTATTTTTTATACTTTTATTTATTTATTTATATGTGGTGTTCAGGATCAAACCCAGTGCCTCACACATGCTAGACAAGTGCTCTACCACTGAGCCACAACCCCAGCTACTAGAACTGATTTTTTTTAAACTAACAAGATGGACTCATAGCAGAGTGGAGATGACAAAAGAAAGAATCACTGGATTTTATTTTTAAAAAGTATCAAAATTTACTGAGTCTGAATAGTAGAGAAAATAGACTGAAAAAAGAAAACCTAACGGACCTTTGAATAATAATAAAAATCTAAATTAATATCATTAGCATTTCAAAAATAGATAGGAAAGAATGTTGGCCTGAAAAGAATGTAGGCTTCTTCACTTTGAACAAATAATGGCTGAAAAATTCCTAAATTTGGCAAAGCACCTAAACATACAGAGTCAAGGAGTAGAGCTCATATAGATAACTCAAAGAAATTTATTAATGAGAAAATAATTAAACTTTTGAAAACTAAAGACAAAAATATCTAAAAAGCAACCAAAGAGAAACAATGCATTATCTAGAGGGAACAGCAATCCAAATGACAGCTGATTTCTCTACAAACACCATGGAGGCCAGAGGAAGTGGCACACCATTTTTTAAAAAGAACTGTGAAGTGTGAATTCTATACATTGTGAAGTCATCCTCTAGGAATGAAGAAGATATTAAGACATTCTCATAAAAAGGAAAAGTAAGAGAACATATTCCTAGGAAACTTATACTTAAAGAATAGTTAAAGCAAGCTTTCTAAACAGAAAGGAAACTATAACAGAAGGATTAGAACTTCAGAAAGAAGAAATAATGCCATAGGTAAAAATAAGAGCAAGTATAAGAGAGTTTGGTCCTTTCCACAAGTTTTTTCAATCACATTTGATGGTCAAAGCAAAACTTTTGTAACATTTGTGTAGTTATTAATGAATGTAGAGAAAATATTTGAAACAATTATATTTTTAAACTGGGGAAGGTAAAGAAAAAGAAATAAAAAGAAATAAAATTTCAATTCTTCATTCAAACCAGTAAAACACTGATCCCAGTAGGCCATAATAAGTTATGTATACATATTGTGCCACCTAGAACAACCAGTAAGGAAGCTATTCAAGATGTATACTAAAAATAATATAACTAAAATCAGATGGAATCCTAAAATATATTCAAATAACCCACAGGAAGGCAAGGAAAAGAGAAACAAAGAAACAGAAAATAGAAAAAAGCAAGCAATCAAATGGCAGACTTAAGGCTATCAGATTAATAATTATTTTAAATAGAAGTGGTCAAAATATGCCAACTAAAAATATAATTGACAAAGTAGATAAAATGTAATGACACAACTATATTGTCTAAAATAAATTCAACGCAAACACAATGACATAGGTATGCTGAAAGTACAAGAATTAAAAAATGATATCATGCAAACATTATTTTTTACAAATAGATCAAATTATATTAATATTAGATAAAGTATACTTCAGAACAAATAATTTTACTAGGTGAAAGATGTTCATCACATTATTACAAGAAGATTGATTCCCCCAGGAAGATATAATGATTCTAAATGCATATATACCAATCAACAGAACTTCAAAATGCATGAAACAAAAACTGATAGAGATCAAAGAAAAAAATAGATCCACAATTATGGTTGGACAATTCAGTCCCTTACTCAGTAATCTATAGAATTACTAGACAAAAAATGAGCCAAGAGACAGAGAACTGAACAGTGCCATCAACCAACTGGATCAAACTGACATTTCTTAAAGACTTATCGACAGCATAATGCACATTCTTTGAAACTACCAATGAGACATTCTTCAAGATTGATTATAAAACTAATCCCCAAACATTTCAAAGCATTGAAATAATACAGACTATATTCCTCAATGATAATGAAATCAAAGTAGAAATCAATAACAGAAATGCAATAAGAAAATCTTCAACAATTGGAAATGAAACAATGCATTTCTAAGCAATCCAAGAAAAAAATGAAGTTTCAAAAAATTTTAAATGCATATGACTTAGTTAAAATGAAAATAAAACATCAAAACTTGTAGGAAGCAGCTAAACATTGATGAAAGGGAAATTTATAGCACAAAATGTTTTTACTAGAAAGGAGAAAAGGTCTCAAATCAATAATCTACATTTATTCTTCAAAAAACAAGAAAAATAACAGTGAAGTAAAGCCAAAACAGATAAATGATCTGAAATAATAATATATAAGAGCAGAAATAAGTGAAGTTGAAAACAGGAAAACATGCCCCCCCCAATCAATGAAACAAAAAGTTGGTACATGGAAAAAAATTGATAAAACCTCAACAAAAGTGACACATAAGCATCATTATACCTCCTGCAACCATTAAAAAGATAATAAAGAAATACAATGAACAACTTTATGTTCAGAAATTTGACAATTTGAAAGAAATGGACCAATTTGTCCAAATGCATGAACTAGTAAACCACAATCAAGATGAAGTAGACAATTACAATACTGCCATAACTATTAAAAAATTGAATTTGTAATTTAAAACTACCCAAAAAGAAATTCCCAGATAGATGGCAATTTTACCAGTCATAGTTAATATCAATTTCACCTAATCTCTTCCAGAAAATAGGAGAAGGGGGCCATACTTTTAAACTCATTTGGCAAGGCCAAAATTATATTGATTCTAAAAGTAGAAGATGCCAATATAAAAATATAGCCCAATATTAACTCAAGTTTAGAAACAAACATCCTCAATAAATATTACCATACCTAATGCACCAATGTGTACAAATAATGATATGCTATCATCAAGTGGATTTATTCTAAGTGTGCAAAGACAACATTCAAAAATCAATCAATGTTAACAATCATATCAACAAATCAAAAAAGAAAAATGATATGATTGTATCTGTGGAATTAAAAAACAAACATTTAAAATTAAGTACTCTTTATGGTAAAGAAAAATAAAAAGCTCTCAGTAGGTTATAAATAGAACTACAGCAATAAATAACATATAGAAGAAATCCACAGCTGTCATCAAACTTACTGATGAAAGACAGTCTGCTCTCCCCCTAAGGTTGGAAACATAGTTCATTCTCACTGCACATTTCAGAGTATGGAAAGTTCTAGTCCATGCAAAATAAAAGAAAAAGAAAGACATCAATATCAAAAAGAAAGAAATATTTCCCATTTGCAGAAAATGTGATTTTTTTTTTTGCAGAAATCCCAATGAATCTACAAAACAAAAATCCTAGAACCAACAAATGAGTTTGGCAATCTTTCAGGATATAAGGTCAACACATTTTACATACTAACAGTGAACATGTGGAAGCCAAAATTAAAAACATAATGCCATTTACCATCAGGTGATTGTAAATACAATTTTAAGTATGCAGGGAACAAGATATTTGTAGGATCTGTGTACTGTAAGAAGCACATAAATATATGGTTAATCAAACATTCATGGTATGCTATATATGCAAAGTACAAAATAGTGATAAAAGAAATCAAAAAAGACTTGGTAAGTTGAGAAGCAATTCAGTAAGCTGATTAGAAGTCTTGACATAGTAAGAATGTCAATTTTCCTCAATTTGATATATAGGTTTAATACAATTTCAAACAAAACCCAGGAAGATTTTTGGTAGACATAGATAATTTTTTTAAAAAATTTATATGGAAAAACACAAACCCTAAAATAGCCAATTCAATCTTAAGTTGAATAAAATGGGAGAAATTAATCTACCCAACATTAAGACTTATTATTAATTTTAAATGCTAAAACTAACACTTATATAGAGTGTTAAAGAAATCACAATGAATTATTAAATTTAAGAAACTTAAAATACTATTAAAATAACAAATATTTTTAAAAGTCAGTATATATATATTAATTTTCTGACATACCTCTATGTTTTCCCTATAGTTTTAAATTATTTCCTCTTTAATTGTCTCCCTTACAAGACTTATTTTGTTATATGTTCTAGGATGAGAAAAGAAAGTCAGATTGATAGAGAAATGGAGACAGGTAAATGGAATAGAGAACCCAGAAAGATATGCCCAAGTTTTAACTAAGGTGCAAAAATAATTTCATGAGAAAAAAATAGCTTTTTCCACAAATAATTCTGAAACAATTGGACACCTATAGGGCAAAGAGAAGAGAGAAGAACAAAATGGAGGAAAGAGGACATAATGGAAGGGAAGGGAAGGGGAGGGGAGGGATGGGAAAGGTAGGGAAAGAAAGGATGAACCTTGATCTAAATGTCACACTTTCTAGAAAAATTAATTCAAAATAAAAAATGAAGGACTGAGCAAGTAGCTCAGTGGTATATAACTTGCCTAGCATGAGTAAGACTCTGGGTTCAATCCCCAGCACCACGAAAGAAAGAAAGAAAGAAAGAAAG